ATTTCATATAAATAGAATGACAGGCGGTCTTTTGCATCTGCATAGCATACTTAATTCCCTGACGCAGGATAGTAAGAAGCTAGGACAATTCCTGGGTAACTGGAATGGCGAAACTGACACAGCTGAACAAACAGAAAGGGCAATTTACAGAACCAAGCTGGCAACTCCAGGACCAGCTGTAGTGACTAATGACCCTTGCCCTGGCACTCACCAATCAGTGGAGACCACAACCCTAAAAGGGCACACCTGGAAAAGCTGATGACTATTTTATTGAGATCGCTCCTAAACCCTAAAAACCCAAGACACAGCTAGCTCTGTGTTCTCCTGGGGAACACACCCAAACCTTTTCCTTTCCCCTCTACTGCCCCCACAGGCATGCATCTCCTAAACTCTAAGGGAATCCACAAAACATGCATCCAGGAGAGCAATGGGCAGTGGCAGCTCATCCCAGGCTTACCCCCTGGACTTATCTCCAAGGCCACCTTTTTTCCTGATTTCTCAGTGAGCCAGAGCAGCCCTGCCCAAATTCATTTCTTTCCTGTAATATTTCTAGAGAGCTAAAGCAGCCCCACCTAGTCTCTCTCCTGTTGCTTCTTCTATCCTAGGCCCTTCCTTGTCTCACTGTCCCCAGCTATAATAAACGTACTCTCAAAATCACCTGGACTCTTTTCGTGAAATCTTTCCTGTTCCTGTGAAGTCAAGAACCCACACACTACAGGCTGGCCATAGGCAGAGTGCTCTGGGCCCAGTCCCCTTTCTGATAACTCCTTTTTATAGCTGGATAATATTCCATTATATAGATACATCACCATTCATTTACTACATTTGTTTTCACATTTTCTAATATGCCAGGGTAACAATGAGGCAGCTTTCTGCAAGGATCTTGCTCACCATTGCAGGGTTTTAATAAAGGGGGTGACGGTATTTCAGAAGAATCCCTCTAACTGCTAGGCACAAAAAGGATGTCAGGGCCACAACAGATACAGGAAGATTCATGATGGATGGTTTCTGAGAGGAACAAACAGGAGGAAAAAGCAGGTGGTGGCTTGTGGAGCACATGGGATCTGGGAGGCTTCTGGGAAGGGAGGACCAGGAGGACACCTCACTGGACGATGTGCTGAGAAGTAATAAGGAAGCTAGCATCAGAGTCAGGGGAAGCCTGAAGCACTCCCCCCGCCCCCGAAAACTGGCGTGCTGGCATGGGGAAGGTTTTCAAAGGCAGGACATGAGTGTGGTGGACACAGGGAAGGGCCTGGCCCAAGCAGACAGAGGGCTAGCCCTGCTTTGTGCTCCAAAGTCTGTGGAAATGAGTTGTCGGGGGCAGGCCAGAGCTCCTAACTGGTTGCTCCCTGAGGGTCAAAAAAAGTTTTCCTGACAGGTGAGCTCTGGGCCCTGCCTCAGCTAGAGCCCAGGCAGCCCAGCAGACACAGGAATGGATAGGGCTGAGGTAACTAGAAGGCAAAGTTGAGAAGGCAAGGCAGGGAAGCCAGAGTTACCCTTACCCCACATGGCCTGTTTTTTTCACTCTGCCCTCTGCATGGCCTCCTGCACACTATGTTTTACAGTCAATACTATGTTGACTTTTTGTGGCCAGAGCCGGAGGGGAACTCCATCATCCTTTATGATGGCTGTTCAATCTCCGTTCCTTGGATGTACTTTATTTAACCAATCCTATGTTGAAGAATATTTGGGTTGCAATGTTATTTATTTATTTATTTATTTATTTTGCCACTAAGTCTTTTTTCAATGACCCCTTTTTTGGCTTAGCTCCTCAGAAGTGATAACTTGTGAAAATTCAGTTTCAATAGCTACTTCTATTTTCTAATACAATTTAAATCCATGCAACACTATCAAAATTCAACAGTGTTGTCCTTATACCACCTACATCCATGCCGCACTCTGCTTGTAGTATGGCTTTCCCGCATCATCCATTAGCACGTAAAAACTGAGCACCTCCTGTGTGTTGGGAATGCACCACGATGTGCCGTGCCCCTTTCTCATCCAGTTGCACAACACCTCACCTAAGGTCAGTCGTCTCCAAAAAATGGCACTGGCCCTTCTAGCCTTCTCCAGGACTTTGTCCACAACCATCCACTCTATCTCAATACTGGCTGTTCTACCTCTCCCACTATTCCAGCTCAGTCCCTACAACCTACAAGGGATGTTAAAGCAAAGAGGTGCGGCAGAGCTCAGCTTTGGGGTAAACTGAGTTTAATCCTCACTTTGTATTGTCTAGTTGGTGACTCTCTGTAGCTCGGTTTCCTCATCTATAAATCAGGGTACTAATAGCCCCTGCCACTGAGGGCTGTCCTGTGGTTCCAACAAGGTAATGCAGGTAAGGAGTAAACCAAAGCAACCTGGCAAAGAGTATATGAGGCTGCCCATGGTGGACAGCTGCAGTGTTTCCTATTCTGGCCAGTTTACCACATCCGTTGGATGTTTCTGGAAGCTTAAAGTGGAGTTTGTGATCTTCTGTTAAATCCGGTTCTACCCAAGAGGTTAACTCCACTACCAAAACTGAATGGGAAGACACAGGGAGGAAGGTGCTCCCTTTTTGGGTGGTGGGAGCACCAGGCAGGAACACTTTCTTTGTCCTGCCTTTGTGGACCATGGCCCTATCCTTCAGGGGTTCCCAGGCCAGCAGAGACTAACAGAAACGGGGCCCTAAAGGAACTGAGGTGACTGGGTTTACCTCATGGGCATGAGGGGTTAGGTGGAGGTCCAGAGACTTTATGGAGACCTGGGGCCCAAGAGAGGAGCGGGGCTTTGACAAAGTAGGGTTTGGGGGTCTGGATTGCTTGGCACAGGGCAGGTTCTAAGGAAACTGGGGCCTGTTATTGTTCTGCCACCTAGTCCTGTTGACAGTAATGATGTTAGCTGCAGAATAAACATCACCAGGCATTAGAGACAAGTTGGGTCCAACCTCAGTTCAGCAACCTTGGTAGTTGAGTTTGGCTTGAAAGCATTCAGAGCAAAGGAATTCAAAGTACAATGGGTATTTAGAAAGATACGGAGGCCCTGGCTGGTGTGGCTCCGTGGATTGAGTGCTGGCTTGTGAACTAAAGGGTCACCAGTTCAATTGCCAGTCAGGGCATGTGCCTGGGTTGTGCCATAGGCAACCACACATTGATGTTTCTCTCTTTCTCTTTCTCCCTCCCTTCCCTCCTCTCTAAAAATAAATAAATAAAATCTCTCTCTCTCTCTTTTTTTTTTTTTTTTTTTAAGTTACAGAGGTAGTAAAAGAGCTCTTGGAGCTTAGGAGAAAGCGGGGAGAGAGATACTGCCTTGAGAGATGAAAGAGGGAGGAAGTGTGCTATGGAAGAGAGCAAACCCTGGGGAAAAAAGGGGGTGGGGAAAGGGGATGGCATGCTCCATAGAGAGAGGGGTCTTTCATCCTGAGGGCATTTATGTGAGGTCTTAGGGAAGGATCTCAACAGAATATACATCAGCTTTCTTGGTGTGTCTCCTCAGGGTTGTGATCTGCACTGATTGGTTGGCACCAGGGGATGGGGTCATTAGTTGTTGCTGCCAGTCCTTTATCAGCCTTGGTGTGGTTCTAGAAGCCTGGATTGCTGCTTTTCTGGGCCTAGAGCTGAAACACAGCTGAGGGCTGATGTTATTTCCAGGGGTAAATGCTTAAGGGAGTGGCCCTGCAAGGGCTTGTATTGAATAGTTTTGCTGTTGCTAGGCAACCAGGGCTCTCCGTCCTGATGACCCTCTGCATCTGGCCCATAGTTCCTGTTCTGCTCATGCCTACCTACCTGTCTACTACCATAACGAGAAACGTACACCTACCCTATAAACCAGCACTTCATTCCTAAGTATATACCCAAAAGAAGTATCTATGTCCACAAAAGCATGTGTAGGAACAAGAACGTTCATAAGGGGCGTTATTTACAATAGCACCAAAGTGGAAACTACCCAAATGTCCAACTGGAGAACAGATCAACAAGGGTATAGTCTTCCGATGGCCCACGTGGCAACTAAAACGAAACAAAAACACTTAGAAGAAAGCATTTCACAGACATTATGTTGATCCAAAAGATCAAGATCTAAGAGTACGCACAGTAAGACCTCGTTTTTAAGATGGTCTAGAACAGGCAAAGGAGGCTATGATAGATGTCGGAAGAGGCTGGGGGTGAGGTATCCGCTATTGTTTACACAGGTATATAGGTATGTGAAAATTCCATCAAGCTACACACTTAAGATTTATGCACTTTGCTGTACATTACACCTCAATAAAAGGTAACAATAACCTAATAATAACGATGATGATTGAGACCAATTATTAAGCGTTGTGTTCTAGGCAGTGTCCCTCTCTTAGTCCCTAATCCCACTGCTTGGTATTATAGTTACTCGTTCGTAAAACCACTAAGGCAAACGGAAAGCATTTTTGCAAAGGACTGGAAATAACGCAAGGATTGTTTGGAAGGAGCCCACAGCTGGATCTCAGGACTGGCCGTAATCGGTCCGCGCGCTGACACCGTGTCCACTGCGGAGAACACCGTCCGGCACAGCCCAAGCAAAGGTGAAGATGTATCTTCCCAAAGGGTGACCGCCCCAACCTTATAGCGTTCCTGCGGCAAGCCCCGCAATAGGGGCGAGAAGCCAGCCAATCAGTAGCCTGCCCGGCCCAGGGTCACTCGATTAAGGATTTCCGTCACCTAGGCTGACCACGCGTCTCCAATGAGCGAGATGCCCATTGAGCTGCCCAATAAGCAGCGGCCTTCTGTCCTGCGCCGGCTCTGCGGCTCCGCACCGTGGTCACAGTGAACGTTCCCCTCTGAATGCCGGTTGGCTCCCTGCCAGCCAATCACCGAAGCGCCCCGGCCCCGCAGCCAATAGCTGCCAGCTTCCCCGAGCCCGGCCTTGAAGGTTGGTGCTGAGCTCCCGCAACCCGCAGTAGGCAGGGGCGGATTGGCGCAGGCGGTGCCCAATGGGAGGTGCGCGTGAGGCGAAGGGGGCCAATGAGAACGTCGGGGGGCGGGGTGAGCACGGCGGCGGGCGGCGAGCGGCTGTGAGGAGAGGCCGGTGCTTGCCGGTGGCGGTGACGGCAGAGGGCGGCCATGGCACAGGCGGAGGCCGGCCGCGATGACCCTCGCTGCGTGCGACTGAACGCCGAGCGGGCCCAAGCGCTGCTGGCCGACGTGGACACGCTGCTGTTCGACTGCGACGGCGTGCTGTGGCGAGGTGAGACGGCCGTGCCTGGCGCGCCTGAGGCCCTAACGGCGCTACGGGCCTGTGGCAAGCGCCTCGGCTTCATCACCAACAACAGCAGCAAGACCCGTGAGGCCTACGCCGAGAAGCTGCGGCGCCTGGGCTTCGGTGGCCCCGCGGGACCCGGCGCCAACCTCGAGGTCTTTGGCACGGCCTACTGTACCGCGCTCTACCTGCGCCAGCGCCTGACCGGTTCTCCGGCACCCAAGGCCTACGTGCTGGGCAGCGCGGCCCTGGCCGCGGAGCTGGAAGCCGTGGGCGTCGCCTGCGTGGGCGTGGGGCCGGATCCCCTGGAGGGAGACGGCCCTGGCGCCTGGCTGGACGCGCCACTCGAGCCCGACGTGCGTGCTGTGGTGGTGGGCTTCGACCCGCACTTCAGCTACATGAAGCTCACCAAAGCCGTGCGCTACCTGCAGCAGCCTAACTGTCTACTAGTGGGCACCAACATGGACAACCGGCTCCCGCTCGAGAACGGCCGCTTCATCGCGGGTCCGTGCGCCCTGGGGGCGGGAGGTTGGAGGGCGGGGCGGCGGGCCCCTCCGGTCCTCTGACCCCGGGCGCTCTCCTCCCTTTCCCTCTCCGCCCCGCAGGTACAGGTTGTCTGGTCCGAGCCGTGGAGATGGCCGCCCAGCGCCAGGCCGACATCATAGGGAAGCCCAGCCGCTTCATCTTCGACTGCGTGTCCCAGGAGTATGGCATCAACCCGGAGCGCACCGTCATGGTGGGAGATCGCCTGGACACAGACATCCTCCTGGGTGTCACCTGTGGCCTGAAGACTATCCTGACCCTCACTGGAGTGTCCACTCTGGGAGATGTGAAGAGTAATCAGGAAAGTGACTGCATGTCTAAGAGGAAAATGGTCCCTGACTTCTATGTTGACAGCATAGCCGATCTTTTGCCCGCCCTTCAAGGTTAAAGATTTAGCGTCTTTAAGCTACAGAATAAAAAAAAAAAAAAAAAAAAAATGAAAACCACTTAACCAGATTAATAGGTGGGGCTTAAGCTCTTGATCAACTAGGTGGCTTCAAAGAGTATACTTGGAGTTAAGCAAAAGCACTAGTTAACCTTGTAAGTAAATGTTTGGGGGACGATTTTGTTACAGATGTTTATAATTTAAGATGCACTTTTAAACTTGGAGGGCATTGTGGGGGTCCTGGTCCTTGGTTGCAGTTGGCGAGAGCAGGCTTTGCATCTGTCCAGGATTCAGATAACCTAAGGGCCTGTTAATGGGACTGAGGTGTCACATATTTTATTGAAAATTTCATTCAGGGATCAAGCCTCCTTGCAGGGCAAAGGGGAGAAGGGGCTGATTATTTTGACTGTCACAAGAAACTTGTACACACCAACCTATGGTCCCATTGGTGTGCTCATCAGCAGAGGAGCCTGCTGATGTATTCCAGCTCCTAGCCTGCAGGGTGGGAGTGGAGGAGGGGGCTACCCCTTGGTAGTGTCTCCCTGTCCTTGAGGTGTGGGGTGCCACACTCACTGTTACCCCACACTTCCGTAAAAACCACTCTGTCATAATTGAGTGTCTGTTGTGTTTCAGATGCCTAGGGCTGCTGCTCTTCATACATGGTTGTGCAGCTCTGTAAACAGTCCAGCTAAGCTCAACTTCCTCAAATGTGCATTTAAACCCAGATGACATGGACTGAACATTTTGACTGAGTGGCCAGGAGGGCATGAATGCCTTTGCTGAACTTTGGCCTGCTGTTTAGGAAGCTCAGAGCAGCTTTGTTACCAAAAATTATTTTTTTAAACTTTTGAACAACTTTGTCAAGGGGTGGAATTGAATCTTAAGTGTGTTGATTAATAGCTGTGCCCTGTCCTTAGAGCATAAATGCTACTGAAGTCTCAGTACCCCGCAGCCAAGCCAGCAGCAGGGCTAAAGTCTTGTGCAAGCCACAGAATACCTGCTACCCAGGGTATCCTTGGTTGGGTGGGGTTAGATGCCAATAGTCCACAAGGCCAACTGTCTTGGCCCTGGAGCCCTTTGCCAGGTGGGGGGCTGGCAGGATCCACCTACTAGCCACAGGTTCTTGGTAGGGAACCCTGGCCTTTTCTGCCTATTCCCTAAGATGTTGACCTTTGGCAACAGGCCTGATAAGTAGACTCTCCGGCTGCACTTGAAAGGTAGAGCCTGGGAAGCTGTTCTTTGGGCCAACTCCTTTCTGGTGCCTTGCCCTGCAGCCAGTGGTGTCAGCCTACAGCTTGTGGCTTTTCTCCTAGTCCCACAGTCACAGCGCTCTTGCTCTAAGAGTTCTCAGAAATAAAGGATATCCCAAGCCTTTAGCTCCTCTCAGGCCTGGAGTGTCTGGGGTTTGGACTCTGCAATGGAGCAACTGCAGCGCAGCCGGTGCCTATGAGGTTGGTGGTGCAGACATTGGCTCTGCAAGATAGGTTCAGTGTGGGTCTGGATATTGAGCAGGCCTGTCAGGGCATTGTCACCCACACCAGGAATACACAGCAGGAGCAGCAGCCAGCAACACCTTCCTCTTCTGTGCCCCATCTCTGCCCTTACTGCACTGTATGAACCCAAATGCGTATTAAACTCTCAAACCCATGCTGACTAGCGTTCCTTGCTCTCGCCTTGATAGCAGCCTTCAGACACAGGCTGCAGCTGTCTAGTCTTTGTGTGGGTGCGGGGTGGGAGAACTTAGTCAAAGGCCATTCTGGGATTCCAATTCCAGAGTCAGAAACCTGAGCCCACCTGAGGGTCATTATAGAGGAACAGCTTCTGAAGGTCCAGGAAAAATGAGGCACAGCAAAACCATAGTAGTAAAGGCCACCTGGTGATTGACACTCATGTTGTGAAAGCTGCCAGTGCCCAGGGAGCCCTGTTGCAATCCGGTGTCAGGTGGCCAGAGATGCAAGCTAGGAGCCAGAGCCACAGCACATTTCAGTTAGAGAAAGCCATGCTGGGCAGACATGAGTCTGACCTAACCATCCCAGGGCATGAGGGAGGTTCAAGTAGGCTACCTGTACTACAGCAGAGCCTCCTGGAAGCCATCCTGGCCTTTCATGTGCTCTATGGGATGCTAGGCAACCCATCCTATATTGCAGGGCGGCGGGGGGGCCCCCCAGGAAATGGCTGGGGTGCACGGGGAGGGAAGTAGAATGGCAGAGACCAATACCAGTCTTTCAAAGAACACGCATTTATTGATGGTGTCCTGTGCCAGGCCCTGTGCCCAGCCTTAGGAGTCTGGAAGTTAGGAGAGTAGAAACAGGACTCCTTAGGAAAAATTAATCTGTCCCCAACCAGGTTAGAAAGCCACTCTTGCTAAGTCTGGGCTGCTCTCCCTGCCATTCAACAGGTCTTGATTTCGGTGATGGCCAAGCTCTCACGCCCTCCTAGGCCTCATGTGTTCTCTGGTTAGCACAGGCCAGGTGTCAGGAGAGCCAGGCACAGTAACAAGCACCACCCCCTCCCCAGGTGGAGGGGAGAGGGCTGTCCTGGCTCAGGTAGCTGGGCTGGGGAGGAGGCAGTAGGGTCAGGAGGGGAGGGGGCCAGGACGGTGGTTTGGCTTATCAGCGGCTCCTTTAGTTTCCCTGGCTGACTCCAAGGGGCTGCGGACAATCAGTGCATTGTCACCAGGGCTGCACCATGGAGCAGGGAAGCTGCTGTGCGGAGGACCCCAGGCCTGGGCCTGTCAGGGTGAGTGCCTCCCACCCCCAGTGTTCTTCCCTGTGACAAGACCCAGGGCATTCCCTGAACAGGGGACAAGAGGGCAGTACTCAGCACCCACACCTCCTCAGCCCTTACTTTCCCTCCCTGAGCCAGCCTGCTCCCTGGTCTCTGGTTCAGGCTCCACTGACTGCAGTGTGCCCTCAGGTGAAGACCAGGCCCTGCCATGGGGGCTGGAGAGCCCGGGGCCTGCTGCTGCTGCTGCTGCTGGCATTAGCAACTGCTGGGGCTGTGGCTGGAGGGCTTCTTGGCTTTGCTCACAGCCCTCCCAAGGTGAGCCTCCTCCGGACCCAAGCAAGTTGCAGGGGTGCAGACAGCAGTGAGAAGGTTGAGAAGGGACCAGCAAATCCGGCCCTACAGTGGAGCCAGGGATCAGAGCTGAGCTGACAAAGGGAGGACAGAGGGGTGGAGAGGCCAAAAGCCTCAAAACAAGGCTGGAGGAAGAGGGTTGAAGCCTGCCTTAGCCTGCCCAGCTGAGCTCTGGCTTCCCACTCAGCCACTGCTGCAGATGTTCCATCTGACCCACCCGAGCTCCAGGGTGTACCGGTCCAACCAAACTGTGCAGGTGGACGTGGCCCAGAATGTGGCGACCATCAGGGTAACCCCGGCTCAGAGCAACGGCAGCTGGGCAGTGCTGTTCGATGGGCAGAGTGTGAGTTGGCTGGTGGGGAGAAAAAGGGTTGCTACCCAAAGGTGTTCAGGTGGACCTGCCTTACCTGCCTGCCTCCCCAGGGCTGTGTCTGTTACCGCCCTGCAGAGCACCGGGCCTGCTTCCTCCACCTGATGGAAGCCAGAGATCGCAAGACCCTGCAGCTTCTGGTGAACACCTCAAGGGTGAGCAGCTTCTATACTCACATGGCCAGGCTTCCCGGACCAGAGGCCAGACAAAGGGTCCTGTGTACAGCCTGGGCCCGGGGTGGGCTGAGGCTCTGGTTTCAGGGGAACAGAAGCTCTATCTTCCCTTCGCTGAGGCTGCTGACAAGAGCCAAGGGCGGGGCTGGCACAGTATTGGCATGTTCAGGGATTCATTGGCCCTGCCCAGCCAAAGGCAGCACAAGTGTCCCTGGCCCATGGCCCAACAGAGCCTTCTCTGCAGGCCCAGGGGTCTCACAGCCCAAGCCAGGACACCCACTACGCCCAGGAGCTGCTGGCAGTTCTTGGGAGCCATGAAGTGGACCCTGCCCAGGTGGGGGCTTCAGTGCGGCACTTCTGTGCAAAGACGCCCATTTATTGGGCCCATCGAGCAGAAGGTGAGTCAGGGTGGCTAAACAGGGAGAGGCCTGGGCTCCCACGGATAGTCTGGGAGAAGGGGAGGGGCCCTTTGGGGTTCACAGAGGCCCCTCCCTCCAGGGCCCCAGAGGCAGCGGCTGATCTACCTATGCATCGACATCTGCTTCCCAAGCAACATCTGCGTGTCAGTCTGCTTTTATTACCTCCCAGACTGAGCCCCCATCCTGCCCAGCTCCACAAGCCAGCCAGCTGGCTGGCCGTCATCAGTACCATGGAAAGCAGCCACCGGCAGGGGCTAATAAACCCCTCCACCTGGCCATGACTGTGTTCTCTGTAGCCTTGGGACATGTAACCAGGAGTGGGGAGGGGGGAAAAGCACTGGCTTGGGGGAGGGCAGCAGCCAAGCTGGCTTGGGTCAGCCCCTTGAGTCCTGTCACATCCAGATAAGCAACTGGGGGCTAAAAGAGCCCCTAGGCAGATCAGCCTGGCCAATCTAGGCTGGCCGAGGGCATCAGGGTAGGTAAGCCAGGTCCACGTAGCCTAGGCTGGCAGAGGCTAGCCTGTGGGAGTTCTCTGACTTGGCAGCTGAACATTCATAGCTAGCCAGTGCCGCCTGATGGCTGCCTGCAGTCCCAAGGGAGCATAGGCTAGCCCAACACACTGTCATTGAAGGCCAAGCAGACCACAGCTTTCTGGTGGCCACCGTACTCCCTCTTGATCTCTCCCGTCTCCACGCACCAGAGCCGGGCCAGGTTGTCAGAGGAAGCTGCAGGGAGGGAGGACATAGGTAGCAGCTCAGAATTTGGCCCCAGGCTGGCTTCCAGGTGGTAGGGAAGCTGAGCTAGTGGGGCAGAGAGGCAGGGTGGGTAGGACTCACCAGTGACAATGTACTGGGAGTCCCCCGAGAAGGCGCAGCCCCACATCCAGCCTCGGGATGACTCTCCGGGGTTGCTGCTCTTGATACTCAGCTCTGTCATCAGGGAGAAATTGGATGTCCTCCAAATCTTGCACGTCTGATCAGCTGAGCAGGTAGCAAGGAGCCTAGGAGTGGGTATGAGCATGGTGGGGGTGTCATCAGCAGCCACTCCAGCCCTGTACCCCCTTGCTGTCCACCCAACAGGCCCCAACCCATCAAACCCCCAGCCCCAAGCAGGTTCCTTCCTCCCTGAAGCCATCTGAGGGCTCCTGGTCCCCCAGGCCCCACACACACGTGGAGTCTGGACTGAAGCGGCACTGCAGGGCGTAGCGGGTGTGTGCTGGAATCTTGGTCTTGGGAATGAGCTGTGTCACCTCATCACCAATGCCTCCCGTCAGATTCCAGACGTAGCAGTTCCCCTGTTGGGTAGGAGGAAAGTCATGGAAGGACCAGAGCTTCTAGTCTGATACATAAGGAAAGCTGCCCTAGCAAGCAGGCTCAGATGCAGGGGCCGCCATCCGACACTGTGGCTGTACCCAGGGGATCTGGGGGCCAGGGACATGTAGCAGGTATATCTGGTCCTGCCTGCAGAGAGCACCTGGGAGGCTTGGCCCCAACCAAAGGCTGTTCCTGGGGGACAGAAAACAGGAGGCCATTTCTAACCTTCCTGGAGGGTGCTACTGGTCAACAGGAATGCTAAGAATGTGATGGGACAACGGCACCCCAGAAAGGGAACAGCAGTACAAAGGCTGAGGATAGGAGCCTGGGGATGTTGTGAGACCAATGATTTATTGCACATTAAAGGGAGAAAAATGAGTCCATACAGGAGATCAAGGTCAAAACCACAGCATATTGAAGCCATGGTAAGGAGCCAGAGGAATCATGGGATTTATGTAGGAGGACAACGGGATCAGGCTAGGACTGCTGAAAAACGCTCTGGTGGCAGAAAGAGAATGGAGTGGAGATCAGAGAGGGGTGAGGGAGGCCACAGAGAGGAGACAAGAGAAACCTGGACCCAGAAATGATGAGGTCATAGGGACAGACTTGGAAAGTTTAGGAGATGGAATTTGCTGATGGGGCAACAGCTAATGAGAGATGTCATCTTGACTTTGTTCACTGGGTTGGAGCTCGAGCCCAGGAGGGCGAAGCAGGACTCTGGGGTAAGGGGAGGGGTCTGGGGGACATCTGGAGAGTAAGCCGACCTGCAGAGATTAAGGGAGATAAGGGAGCTGGTCTCCCCACTACACCCACCCCAGGACTCACAGTACTATTGACTGCTGCCATGTAGCTGGCATCCGGGTCAATGTGAGCAGATGTGATGGAGACCTCAGGCTCAGGGATCAGCTGCTCATTGTGGTCAGTTTTCAAGTCCCAGATGTGGATAGCGCCGCTCTGGTCACCTACAATGAGCTCTGCCTGGGGTGCAGGGGAGGTGAGGTAAGGCAGAATCCCTGTCCTCCAAAGCCCCAGGGTGCCCAGCCCTATGCCTGCCCCTCACCTGGTTGGGGTGCAGGCACACACAGTTAATGGGCGCATTCACCTGGAAGATCCGCTGACACTGCAGGTTGCGGGACCTTCGGGGTGGGAGACATACACAGCCTGTATGCTGTTGGTGTCCCACTCAGGTGCCCTTTCCCTGGCCATTTAGTCTTTTCCTTCTGCTGATAGGAGCTGCCCCACAGGAAATACTTGGGAGACCTGGCACTCACCAGGGGCAGCATGAAGCCAGTGACTGACTCAGAAGGGGCATAAAGGCCAGCCTCCTGCCTCAAGGCAGGACTTACTCTTTGATACTCTTTGTGTGGCTTTATTCTGTCCCTAACTTGCTTTTCTCACTGCCCTCAATAAATCACCCACATAGGAAACCCTATCTCAGCCTCTGCTGAGAGGAAACCCAACTTAAGTCACTCTCAAGCCTGGCCCTCAGCTCCCCTCCCCACCACATCCAGCACCCCACATATCCAGGCAGCAGGCCTGTCCTGCCTGGCACCCACACCTGAGGTCCCAGATCCGGGCAGTGCAGTCCTCCCCACCCGTGTACATCCAGCGGCCATCCTCGTGGAAGCCCACAGACGCAATGTTCTTATTGACTCCGTCATAGCTGATGATGGGGTTGGGGTTATTGGAGTTGAGATCATACATGCGGATGTGCTGGTAACCTGTGGGCACAGACCAAATTGAAGTTTGGCTGTGTCTAGATGAGCCCATCAGAGGTTAGGAGTCAGGTTGAGGGCACAGGTACCTGCAGCAGCAATCATGCTGCGGTCAGGTGTGATCTCCAGCGCATTCACCTGCTGTGTCTATTAAGGAGGATGACCAGCAGAGCCCTGGGGTCAGGGGCCCTCAAGGCCACCACATATGGCTCAGCTGCTGCTGTATCCTCCCTACCCAAAGCAAGGCCTTTGCGGAAGCTGTTATCCCCACGAGGGGTCCTGTCCAGCACCACCCTGCCCACCTTCCCAGCAGAGGATACAGAATCCTGGTGCTGCACTGTGCGGGTGCAGATCCCACTGTGGGCCTGCCAAAACCGCACAGTGTGGTCATAGCCCGCAGTGGCCAAGATGACAGGGTCACTGCCCACTGTGCCTGGGGATGTGTTCATGTTGTGGCTGCTTGGAAGACTCAGCAAGGGTCAAAGGTCAAAGCATCTGGAAAAGAGAAAGGCACGTTCATATCCTAAACCAGTGATTTTCAACCTTTTTCTTTTTTCAAAGATTTTATTTATTTTTAGAGAGGGGAAAAGATGGAGAAAGAGAGGGAAAGAAACATCAATGTGCAAGAGATACAACGATCAGTTGCCTCTTGGCACTCCCCCAACTGGGAACCTACCTGGCCTACAACCCAGATGTGCTCTGACTGCGGATTGAACTGGCAACTTTTCAGTTCACAGGCCAGCACTCAACCCACTGAGCCACACCAGCCGGGGTTTCAACATTTTTCATCTCATGGTACACATAAACTAATTACCAAAATTCCGTGGCATACCAAGAAATATATTTTTTGCTCATCTAACAAATAGCTATAATTTTTATTCATTCACACTGGAGAGCTACTGTTGTATTGGCTGTTCTCATTTTTTTTAATTTGACAGCCTAAAGGAAAAGAGGTCAGTGCACCTGACTAAATACGTATTGCATGTTTTAGAAATTCTTGCAGCACACCAGTTGAAAATCACTGTCCTAAGAAGATTATAGGTCTACTTGGAGAGATAGGTGTTGTTCCCATTTTAGAGATGGAGAAAGTGAGGCTCAGTGAGGTTCAGGGACACGCGTGGGAACCGTCCACCGACAGCCTCCCAGCTACAAGGTGTGTGCTCGGTTCTGGCCCCAGACTGGCCCCAGACTCTCCCCAGACGCCACCCCATCCGCCGCCAGGGGGCAGTCACACCCGGGATGTCACCCTGCCGCAGGGGCAGGCCGCGCGTGCGCAAGGCAGCGGTAGGGCCACAGGGAAAGCCGAGTGCGCATGCGTAGCAGGCCGACGACTAGACCTGATGTGAAGGGGTATTCTGCGGCTGGACCCTCGTGCTCTCCGGTGCTCCGCTGATAGTCCTGGCTCCGTCCCACTAGGCCAGCTTCCTCTGGTCGCGCTCTCCCGACCACACAGCAGCCGTTTTCTAGCTCTCGTCCCGCGACCTCCGTACCTTACGGGCGACTCTGCGCTCCGCCGCAGTCCATGATGGCGAGCGGAGCCGGAGTGAGTCGATAGAGACTGAGGCCGAGCGTAGAGTTATCGATGGACCATTAGGGCGATACCACGGGAGTACGGGGGGGGGGGGGGTGGGACGAGACCAAAGTTATGGTACTGGGGGTCCCTTCCGCCTGGTAGAACCAGTAGACGCTTTGGTGATCCCTGGAGCTGCGGGGTAGATGAAGAAAAGCTGTAGCACTAGCCTTCTCACTCCACCACCCCAGCCTTGTGAAAGGGCTACTTACTTTCCGGGCTTGGGTCGTGGACGCCAGGTCGCTGCACCCCTTCCATTCCCTCAGGCCCCTATTCCCCTTTCAGGCTAGGATTCTCAGGTAAATTACCGAACGCTTAGTTACATTTGAATTTCAGATAAGTAGCAATAACTTTTAAAAAATATAAGAATGCCCCAAATATTGCATGAAATAAACTAAAAAGTTACTCATTTGCCTACGTTAATTAAAATGTAACTAGGCTTTCTGCAGTTTTATTCGCTAAATCTGGCAACCCTAGTCTGGACCCTTACAAGCCTTTCTAGCTCCTTCCTGACCCTCCATTCCTCCAATTCAGCCCAGTGACCCCTCCAAAAACTGGGTCCTTCATACCTTATTT